TAAAACCCCAGACAAGGTATGAGGGAGGCCAAGGGCAAAGGCTGGAACCTAGAGCTCTCCCTGGCTCAAAATATGCAGCATTTGTCACTGCTGTCAAGGGACTGTCGCAGCTGAGTTTGCACATGGAGACACTGAGAAAGATCAAGACATTTGCATTTTCCCTTCCGCCTAACAGAGCTGTTTATATCCCTTCTAAACGGACAAGTGCCAAGTGGTGAGGAGACTGAATCTCCCATTTCCTGGTCAGAGTGACAAGCAGACTGTGCCTGTGCATTCACCATGATGAAAACTAGGATACCTACTGTGTTCACAGACTATTATTGCCTCTCTATCAACGGCTTGATTTCCCACTAACACTGTCAGTGGGGAACTCCAAACACAAGAAGAGGTTCAGAGGTTTTGCTATAAAATAAAGCCAGTTCTCTCTGTCCTCTGTATTTATTACAAGTAATTGATACAGTTACTTCAGCCAAAGCTGAAGCTCAGATACTCTGGCCAACTGATACGAAGAACTGACTCATTAGAAAAGACTTTGATGCTGGGAAAGACTGAAGGCAGGAGGAGAAGGAGACAACAGAAGATGAGATGGTTGGATGGTGTCACCGACTCAATGGATTTTGAGCAAGCTCCGGGAGTTGGCAATGGACAGGGAAACCTGGTGTGCTGCAGTCCATGGGGTCACAAAGAGACAAACACGACCGAGTGATTCAACAACAACAAATTGATAGAGTAGAGATGAAGTATAGAGGTGAGTTGGGTAACTTTAGCAAAAAGCACAGGGCCCTAAATCCACCCCACCCCCATGTTGGTGGATTAGAGCAAGGGTTTGGGAGACAACCTGGGCTTGAATTCTGGCCCTGCCAACAAGCAGCTATGTCACTGGGCAAGTCTCTTAACCTCCCCTCGATTTTCTCGTCTGTAAAATGGATATAATAAACATCTGCTTGAAAAGTTGTTCTAAATATTATATAAAGAACAGTTCTTAACACAGAATAAGCACCATATTTGTGTTTGCTATTATTATTTTCTGGAATATACTTTGATTTGCAAATTCATGGACGGGGCGGGGGGATGGCTGATGTCTGCCTGCCTCTCTGCTGTCTCACCTCGTTCTCACCTCCTTCCTCTCTCTGCTCCTCTCACATCGCTGCATCTTCATTCATTAAGCACATGGGTTTCTTTCCTACCTGAACAATTTTGCACCAGATCTTCTATCCATGCTTGTCTGTTCTCTGTTCCCAGTCCCATTTTGTAAACTCCAACCCATCTTTAGGATGTCATTGTAAACACGATTTTCTTTAAGGAAACTTCTCTGTAACTCTGTTAAGTCTCCCTGGGTCATAAAAAGTAGCAACTGGGTTCAAATAATACCCTGCCCATGTCCCACCGATAGAAGGGACACCAGATCCCAATAAATATTTTTCCCATGAATATGAAACTTTATCAGAGCCATAGACACAGAAAGTAATGGTTGCTGAGGCATTTTATGCCTGTCTTTTAGAAAGAAGACTTATGAGCTTCTGTTGCTTAGCAACAGGGAAGGAAGATTTCTGTTCTTACTAAACTGCACTTGATTACCTCTTCTCTTATCCCTTCTGAGTTCATCCAACAATCCTTTGCACCAATTCCCTTTAATATGTAAGTTGCTATTCTAAGCAAGAGAAGGAAATGGCAACCCACTCCAGTATTCTTGCCTGGAAAATCCCATGGACAGAAGAGCCTGGTGGACTACAGTCCATGGTGTTGCAAAGAGTTGGACACATATGAGCAAGCATACACGCACTGTTCTAAGCAGCCCTTTTGGCTTGAATTACATTTATTTACCTTTTATTTGTTTTAGCAGCTTCCTCTCTCCAACCCAGGTCTCCCACATTGCAGGCGGACTCTTCACCAGCTGAGCTACAAGGGTAGCCCAAGAATACTGGAGTGGGTAGTCTATCCCTTCTCCAGTGGATCTTCCTGACCCAGGAATCAAACCAGGGTCTCCTGCATTGAGAGAGATCATTTACCAACTGAGCTATCAGGAAAGCCCTAGATTTACTTACTTTCTAATTATTTTTAACAGCTTCATGAGCTATAATTTATGTACTAAAACTGCACATATTTAACGTACACAGTTTAATGAGTTAGCATCAGTTCAGTTCAGTTCAGTCATTCAGTCGTGTCCGACTCTCTGCGAACCCATAGACTGCAGCACGCCAGGCCTCCCTATCCATCACCAACTCCCGGAGTTTACCCAAACCCATGTCCATTGAGTCGGTGATGCCATCCAACCATCTCGTCCTCATGAAATTTCAATTTAACAACTCTCCATGTCCCCCTTCTCCATAGACATTAGCAACCAGTAAATGGCAAAATTTTATCTCTTTTAAGGTCTAAGTAGTATTCTATTATATGTATATATATATATAAAGTATATACATAAATATTATATATATAATGTATCCCTTCATCTGTTGATTGAAGCTTAGATTGAAACATCAGGCCTCCCTGTCCATCACCAACTCCTGGAGTCTACTCAAACTCGTGGCCATTGAGTCAGTGATGCCATCCAACCATCTCACCCACTATCGTCCCCTTCTCCTGCTGTCTTCAATCTTTCTCAGTATTAGGGTCTTTTCCTGTGAGTCAGCTTTTCACATCAAGCGACCAAACTGTTGGAGCTTCAGCTTCAGTATTAGTCCTTCCAATGAATATTCAGAGTCTATTTCATTTAGGATTGATTGGTTTGATCTTCTTGCTGTCCAAAGGAGTCTCAAGAGTTTTCTCCAGCACCACATTTCAAAACCATAAATTCTTTGGCTCTCAGACTTCTTTGTGGTTCAACTCACATCTGTACATAACTACTGAAAAACCATAGTTGGACAATATGGACCTTTGTCAGCAAAGTGATATCTCTGCTTTTTAATACACTGTCTAGGTTTGTCATAGCTTTTCTTCCAAGGAGCAAGCGTCTTTTAATTTCATGCCTATAGTCACCATCTGCAGTGATTTAGGAGCCCAAGAAAATAAAGTCTTTCACTGTTTCCAATTTTTCCTCATCTATTTGCCATGAAGTGATGGGATTGGATGCTATGATCTTATGATTAAAAAATAAGAAGCCAAGCTTAGAGAACTTAAAAAGACCTCAGTAAAATTGCAAGGAGGGACTTTTAGGGGAGGGAGAAGTATTCTATGTCTTGATTGTCATGCCAGCTACCTATACAGGTGCAAAATGTCATCAAAAAATACTGAAACATATACTCAAATTGGGTGCATTTTATTGCAGAGTTGTTGCTTTTAAAGCTCGTGTAATTGTAGTCTTCAGGACCTAGGGAGTTGCTGAGTTTCTTGCTCAGCTCCTCTGGCAGGGACAGCTGAGAGAAGCAGCCATGAACCCTTAAGGCATCCCTGGTCTGGATCAATTAATGTGCTGAGCAAGGTGATCAAGGTGCTTCTGTTGATTATCCTTATTTCTGAAGGCACAGTTTTGCCAGGTGAAGAGCTCAAAATTACATTTCTTATAAAGATTATTAGGAACCCATCAAGGTCACATCCTGTGTCTCCTTTGCCAGATACCCTGCAAACTGGGGAATCTGAGACCCCTAACAGCTTTCTTCCTCATCCTTGGGTTTGTGTTCCCACCAGCTGTTTTACACCTCCCCTTCTGCTCAGCCTGTGTGGCCATTTACAGATTTTTCTTTCTGGTTCATGCTCTCTCAAAGTGGGTTTCTGTTAGTTCCTACCCTCCTACGACACTGCTGATTTCCTGAGCTGGGTTCTTGGTGAGTTTGTGTTCTAGGAAGAGCTGATGTGCTGCACTGTGGACTGGCTGCTGGCACAGAAATACAGAGCTGAGTCCGCTGCCTCGGTGGACTTGATTTCCAGGCTGCAGGGTGAGTTTTTGGGGCACTCAGCTGAAAATCGCTGTTTGAACATANCCTCTTCCAGCTTCTTGCGATACCAGTAAACATGAACATGTCCTTTAATGGGGACACAATCCATCTTGGCTTTCTGGTCTTTTCCTTTGACCAGATGACCTGGACTCTGGATGACCCCAGTGTCCATGGAGCCTGTAAGGGAAGAGACAGTAAGTGGAGTGAAAGCCCAGAAGAAAGGCTGATTTTGCAGCCCCAGGAGAAAGTCCTGAGACTGGAATCCAACAACTTCACAACAGGAACTTACCTGCTCCCCAGAAAAAAAAGGTCACACAGCACAGGAGGCTGAAGCACATGTCTGGATCAGGGAGAAAGTAAGGCGGTGACTTTTTCTCCAAGCTGCCTCATCCCCCTTCAGCATTTCCCTGTGACGTGGTCGGTTCACATGGTCATTACAGCCCCTGTGTACATCAGTCTCTAACATTTCATAGGCTGGGAGGGCAGAGAAAGTTGGTGAAACAACTAGTTTGAATTTGAAACTGCTTTATCCTTCTCTCTCATAAGTCTTTAAAAAATAGAAGTCATTTCACATCAGTAATTTATTTGCTTTTTTAACTTGTCAATTTGCCTTTTCCCCTCCTCCCTTCCCTCTTAGACAATAAATGATACACTTTGCTATATATAAATCATAGCTTCTATTGCATTTACAAAATTGTATAGCAGCTACTTTATGTTAAAAAAAAAACAAATTTTGAGCTCTACAAATATTTGTGATGAACATGCAATACATCTAGAGAAGTAAGAAAATGAATGATCTTGCCTGGAACAATCAGTTTAGCAGACAGACTTTCATGGAGAATTTTCAAGTCTCCGTGTTATTTTTCTAGATTCTTATCTTTCTTTCTCTACCTATCTTGGTAATAGTAACATTGTCTTCCCTATTCTCTCTCTTTTCCTAAATTTCAATGACTTTCATCAAATTTCATGAAAATATCTTTTGTGATTTTGATTAGTGCTGCATCGAATACATAAATGATAGTACAAAAATAGGAATGCTCTTTATTGGTTTAACTTATTCATGATCATGGTATATAGCTTCACTTATTTCAGGTTTTTAAAATGCTTTCCCTAAAATGTAATACTTTCCTGAATTAATAATCATTTACCTAATAGATTTTTAATGTATTTTATATATTTTTATAATTTGTAAATGGTCTCTCTCTTTAAAAAATATTTTTTGACTGTTGCTAGTATATGGAAATAAATTGACTTTTTAAGTTTATGCTAAATTCAGTAAACTTATTAAATTTGTTGTTATTAATAATGCAATTCTTCTTTAGATTCCTTTGGTTGTTCTTCTCAATTTTCCATCTGTCTTTAATAATTTCTTTGCTCCTTTCCTCATTCTCACCCTTTTATCTAGTTCTATTGGCTAGATATTCAGCATAATCATGACCAGAAATTGTGGCAGACTTCATTTACTTACTTATGAATTATGTTTGACCCAGACAGCTATAGGTACTAGACATGTGGTAGATGCTATGGAGGGTTAAAGAGTGTAAGATTAGGCCCTGCTATTAGAGGAGTTATTGGCATCCCAGGATATTTGCAAATCATTCTCCCAACTGTTACTGGACCAAGTCCTTCTTGACTGATCCACAGGAAAGCCAAAACAAGAGATGCCCAGGTTTGTAGGAGAGAAGAGATTTGTCTGCAAGGCAGTCAGCCAAGGAAGGAGATGAGAGAGCTGCCGATTTTTTTGTGTTGTTTTTGTTTTTCATATTGAGTTGAGTGAACTTAATATGAAAAATTTGGATATTAATTCTTTACTGGTTATATCATTCACAAATATTTTCTCCCATTCAGCAGGTTGTCTTTGTCAATATTTTGTTTGTTTGTTTGTTTGTTTTTGGCTATGAGAAAGTTTCATGCTTATTAAGTTTCCCTTTGATTATTCTTGCTTTTATTTCCTTTTCCTGAGAAGACAGATCTCAACATATATCGCACAACTGAGAGCAGAGAGTGTTCTGTGTTTTTCCTATGAGTTTTATGATTTTTGGCATTACATGTCTGTCTTTAATCCATTTTGTGTTTGAATTTGTGTATGGTATGAGGAAATGCTCCAGTTTCTTTTTTTTACCATAGTTGTCTAGTTTCACCAGCACTGCTTATTGAAGAGAATGTCTATTTCCAAACTGTATATACCTGCATTCCTTGTCATAGTTTAACTAAACATATTTGTGTGGGTTTATTTCTAAGCACTCAGTTCCTTGTTTGGATCAATGAATGTGCTGAGCCAGGTGATCAGGGTGCCCATGGAAGATGATGACCTGCCAATTATCTGTATTTCTGCAGGCACAGCTTTGCCAGATGAAAAGCTCAGAACTGCATATTTTAATAAAGATTCTTAGGAACCCATCAAGGTCACATCCCATGTCGTCTTTGCCAGATACCCTGCAAACTGGGGAATCTGAGACTCCTTACAGCTTCCTTCCCCATCCTTGGATTTGTGTTCCCACCAGCTATTTTCCACCTCCCCTTCTGCGCATCCTGTGTTGCCATTTACAGACTTTTCTTTCTGGCTAATGCTCTTTCAAGGTGGGTTTCCGTTAGTAGTTCCTACTCTCCTATGACACCACTGATTTCCTGAGCTGGGTCCACGGTGAGTTTGTGTTCTAGGAAGAGCTGACGTGCTGCACTGTGGACTGGCTGCTGGCACAGAAATACAGAGCTGAGTCTGCCGCCTCGGTGGAGTTGATTTCCAGGCTGCAGGGTGAGTTTTGGGGGCACTCAGCTGAAAATTGCTGTTTGAACACAGCTGTATCTTCTATAATTTTTTCATTCTGTAAGTAAACCAAAAACTCGAATGCTTCTTCCAGCTTCTTGCGATACCAGTAAACATTAATGTGTCCTTTTTCGGGGACACAATCCATCTTGGCTTTCTGGTCTTTTCCTTTGACCAGACCACTGGGACTCTGAGTGACCTCAGTGTCCATGGAGCCTGTAAGGAAAGAGACAGAAGGTTCACAAAAAGCCCTTGAAGGAGCCTGATTTTGCAGCCGCAGGAGAAAGCCCTGAATCTAGATGCCAAGAAATTCACCTCACCTGCTCCCCAGAATAAAAGAGCCACACAGCACAGGAGGCCGAGGCACATGGCTGGCTCAGGGAGGAAGCAGGGCAGCGCCTTTTCCTCTCAGGCGCCTCATCCCCCTTCAGCTCCTCCTTGTGACGTGGTGGCTTCCTGTGGTCATCACAGTCCCCATGTGCATGAGATGCTAGCTTTTCATAGACTGGGGGGGCAGGGGAAGCTGGTGGAACAACTAGTGTGCATTTCAGACTTTCAATTGTCTTTTTTCCTGATTCTGCTCTTTCATCATTTCTTTAAAAAATAAAAATCAGTTACACATCAATAACTTATTTGCTTTTTATCTTGTCTGTTTCCCTCCTCCCCTCCTCCCTTCCCTCTCAGGCAATGGAATACACAACTTGCTGTACATCAGTCATAGCTTCCATGGACTTGCTAATCATTAGAGCAGCTATTTCATATTAACAAGCCAAATTTTGAACAATACAAAAGAAGTATTTGTGATGGATATATAAAGCATCTAGAAAAATAATAAAATGAGTCATCTAGCCTGAAACTGTTAGCTTAGGAGACAGGTTTTCTCTGAGAATTTTTTTTTCCCTCTGAGAATTTTTAAGTCCCAATGTTATTTTTCTAGATTTTATCATTCTTTCTCTACAGGTCTTAGAAAACATCCCAAAGTTCAACTTTTTACTCACTTTCTTTCCATTTTCAGTTTTAGACTTATAAAAGAATCTGTAAATTATATACTAATCAGTATTTTATGTATTTGAAATTTATCTAAGGTGTTTATTCTGTTTATACTTTTTCTGTGTCATTTTTAAAAATTCAACATTATGTCTGTGATAATTTATTATTATTTTATATAATAATTTAAATGATAATACTTTATTATTATTGTTTTGGCAGATAATTTTATATAATTTACTTTTGCTAATATGTGAACGACTGTTCATTCCCTCAGTCGTGTCTGACTCTTTGTGACCCTATGGACTGTAGCCCATCAAGTTCCTCTGTCCCTGGGATTTTTCAGGCAAGAATACTGGATTGGGTTACCATTTCCTCCTCCAGTGGATCTTCCTGACCCACGGATCCAACCTGTGTCTCCTGTGTCTCCTGAAAAGCAGGTGGATTCTTTACCCAATGAGCCATCACTAATTTATAAGGTTCCATTTATTTTAATAGTTCGTCAGAATTTATTATCCATTCTGAGTTAATGTACACTAGTTTTCTCCTCTAGATTTTGGTGCTAGTAGAAACAGGCCTGCATTCCTGTACAAACAGGACCTTTCTTTACATACCAAGGTATAATGTTTTCCTATACCCACGTATATAAAAATTGAGCCTTAGGGTCACCGTGTCAACTTTACATACTAAGACAAAATGCTTTCCAAATTATGCCAAATAAATAATCCCAACAACCGTTGTGTGTTTTCTAGGGTTGCACATCTAAAATTCAATTGGTGCTGTTCTTTCTGATTTTTAAAATTTTTGGCTCTGCCAGGTGTCATGTGGTTTATTAGTACCCTGAGCAAGGATAGAATCAGCGCCCCCTGCAGGAGAAGCCCAGAGTCGTAACCACTAGACCACCATGGAAGTCCTGGCACTTACGTTCTTTTAACTTTGCCAGTTTATTAAGATAAAACAGTGCTGGGAGCCGTTATGGGAGGTCCCGCCTGTGATGAGGTCATGAAGAAAATACCGGACAGGCAAGGCCGTCCGGGACCCCATCCATGACGAGGTCACGAGGAAAAAACCTGACAGGCAAGGCCGTCCAGGATATAAGGGACCCTCCAGGTTGGCCTCGGCCTCTACCCCATCCTGTATCCTCCTCCCTTCTCTGCTGTTGTTCTTGTTTGCCCTGCTGCGGATTCTTGTGTTGCCTGCTGAGAGCTCTCCTGCTTCTCTTTCACTAAATAAAGACCGACTTAAAACCCTAATTAATAAATCTCCTAGATGCTGGTACCCTGTGAAGGGGCCAGGGATGAAGGAAATGCTTCAATTCAAACCCTTTTGCTGGCATTCTGGCTTGTTTGATAAATGTGTGCTCTCATTGCACAAAATG